AACGTCTTCAGAGAAACAATTACATGCTCCAAGAATACCTACATTAAATGAATGTCTACAATGATCAAAAAAAGGATGCAAGGATGGCTAGAATCAGACTGCAATAAGGAAAGAGAAAACTTCCAGCAGCAAAAGAACAATGAACTTCGGGTATTAAGAGGAGCAGAATAACTTCAAATACACCTAACAGTGGGCCAAAGACAGGAAAAGTTCTCAACCAGAAACACGTTCTGCAAGACCAGTCTGTTTGTTCGTGTCTCTTGACAGGAAAAACAAATCTAGGAAATGGTGCTTACCAAAAGCAGGATTGAAAAAGCATGCTGCTTTGCAGAAATCATAGATTTCTTTGACTACACACTGAGAACTAGCTGCGATGGTAACTATGTCTCATTTAATTGGACACTCTTTCTTTGTTGGAGGGATTGGTGGATGCCTGAGGAAAAGACACTTTATCAGTAACAAAAGTTGGTGATGACTGCCACAAAAAAAAAAAAAACCCAAGCAAAAAATCCATCCATATGTTCCACATGAAATCCAAGGGCATCAGTATTAAAAACTTAGAGAAAGAGTGAAAGAAAAAACAAAAAAAGCAATAGGATGTCTAAAGGGGAACTGAGGACCTAAATTCTGCCCAAAATCCTAGGGTATCTTCCCCTCGCCCCCCACCTTAGCTCAGCAGATGACTTAGATATAAAATGTCTCCTTATGAGCTGGACAAACACTACCAGGAAATTGCCCCATATAAAAATGGAACTAGCATAACAAAGGTCTCAAAAATAGGTATTTATAATGAAATTTACCTTTTCTGTGACACAGGTATTGCAATAGTAATGCTGAGGGGGATACACTAAACCGCACAAACAAAATAGAGTAGAAACTTAGGAAAATATGAAACATTTTGCCCTGAATTTAGAAGTGGGTTCATTTTTGTGACTAATGAACCACACAGTCACATAGTTTGTATGAATGCATGGAAAGGGCAGGTAAATCCACAAAGACCTTTAAATATGAAAACACAGGAGCTCATTTACAGCTGGATACAGCTTGCAATCAAAGGACAACACTGTGTGTATCTCAAAAATAGATAATTAAGCCCAAAATGGGCAACTGCATAAAATGAGTCCACTTGCAAGCAAAAGGGTGACGGGACACAGGGACATATCCTTCAACAGAGTAGTTCTAATGCAAAGAAGAGCTTTAAGCCTGAGACAGTCCCCAGCTGACATTCAACTTCAGAAAAAACTTTCATCTCTTATTTTGACTAGAAATATAAGAATACAATGACCTGCCATATACTTCTTACTGTCCTCTGGTCATTACACAATTATAGCATTCTTCTACCTTAACAAAAGTAAATTTTCCATGCTCTTAATTGCCGCTTTCCTATTTTCCTAATTTGCTTTTCTTAAAAACATCCTGAATCGCAATCCTTCAGAAAACAGCATGGAGCTATGCTATTTCCATTACTGCTTTTTATGGCTTTCCTCAAAAATTCTCACATTCATTTATTTATTTAACTGAATGAATAGGTATTTTCACCAAGTTCTCTCTCTATAATGACAGATTCCTTCCCTTTATGTTAGAACTCAAGTGTATTCTCATGACATGACAAAAATTTCTTTTGCAATTTAGGTTTTGGGAGATATTTTGTCGGCAGTAATCATCAAGAACAGGAGGTCTTTAATCCAACTCTGACTTGAAAAAATTTGGCTCTTCCTAAAAGGTGAGCAATTCGGATTTATAGGAAGAGCTAAATGCACAAACAGAAACTGCTCTGTTTTTGAATGACCGCCATTAGACAATTAGTAACGTCTGTTCTTGGCCCAATCAAGACTAATACTCAAAACTCAAAATAATAAAAGTGTTTTTGTATCAGACTGTAGATTTCAAAAGCTTGTAAAAGAAAAGAAGCAAGGAAAGGAGGTCAGTTAATGAATAGGTTGTTATCACAGACACTTACATACTTGGCTACCTTATGTGAGACCTGAAGTCTATATTCAGCATAAATGACAGGGGAACAAAAGATGTTACAGAATTCTACTCAGACCACAATTACACTCCATTCAAAGCCCCCAGGACCAGATTGAGAAATACAGAAATAAAAACAAACAGAGGAACTAAAGACAACAGTAGGAAAAAATGCTGAAGTGACACACATCGAGCCGTGATGATTAACTACTGCAATCCTAGGCTGCGTTTTGTTCTCTCCCTCAGTATGACCAGAAAGTACAGAAAATCAGCTTGTGAAATAATTTAACACAAGATGATTACTATCAGAACTAATTGTTTTAAATTTTAGGGCTTCAGCTGTAACTAGTCAAGCGAAAAAAATGACACACCAACTTTTACTGATTTTGCTGTGTACCTCCGACAGGCTCAAAAGCACTACTGGTATTCTGAGCTATGCCCACCTCTTTTAAAGCCAATGTCTCTAAATCTGACTTTCTTTGATCTAGACCAAATAACGACCCTACTGAAAGACTTTCCCTTCAAGGCTAAAGCTTACCATTACACTTTAAGGCATATAAAATATTTAATTTCAAAATGAGAAGACCTAATGTACAAGTTTGCTCTGATGATTGTTTGGTTTTTGATTTATTCAGAGATTTGTACTTAAGATTGTTCCAGCAACGAACTCAAGTGTATTCTCATGACATGACAAAAATTTCTTTTGCAATTTAGGTTTTGGGAGATATTTTGTCGGCAGTAATCATCAAGAACAGGAGGTCTTTAATCCAACTCTGACTTGAAAAAATTTGGCTCTTCCTAAAAGGTGAGCAATTCGGATTTATAGGAAGAGCTAAATGCACAAACAGAAACTGCTCTGTTTTTGAATGACCGCCATTAGACAATTAGTAACGTCTGTTCTTGGCCCAATCAAGACTAATACTCAAAACTCAAAATAATAAAAGTGTTTTTGTATCAGACAGTAGATTTCAAAAGCTTGTAAAAGAAAAGAAGCAAGGAAAGGAGGTCAGTTAATGAATAGGTTGTTATCACAGACACTTACATACTTGGCTACCTTATGTGAGACCTGAAGTCTATATTCAGCATAAATGACAGGGGAACAAAAGATGTTACAGAATTCTACTCAGACCACAATTACACTCCATTCAAAGCCCCCAGGACCAGATTGAGAAATACAGAAATAAAAACAAACAGAGGAACTAAAGACAACAGTAGGAAAAATTGCTGGAGTGACACACATCGAGCTGTGATGATTAACTACTGCAATCCTAGGCTGCGTTTTGTTCTCTCCCTCAGTATGACCAGAAAGTACAGAAAATCAGCTTGTGAAATAACACATATTTAACACAAGATGATTACTATCAGAATTAATTGTTTTAAATTTTAGGGCTTCAGCTGTAACTAGTCAAGCGAAAAAAATGACACACCAACTTTTACTGATTTTGCTGTGTACCTCCGACAGGCTCAAAAGCACTACTGGTATTCTGAGCTATGCCCACCTCTTTTAAAGCCAATGTCTCTAAATCTGACTTTCTTTGATCTAGACCAAATAACGACCCTACTGAAAGACTTTCCCTTCAAGGCTAAAGCTTACCATTACACTTTAAGGCATATAAAATATTTAATTTCAAAATGAGAAGGCCTAATGTACAAGTTTGCTCTGATGATTGTTTGGTTTTTGATTTATTCAGAGATTTGTACTTAAGATTGTTCCAGCAATGGATCTAATCGTATCTGAAAGCTTTCAGGGATCTGTGATCCTTATGCTATGCTTCCAAGCGCACGCTAATCTTATTCCTTTGAACAAAGGGTAAGCTAACCTCAAGAGCAAGTTTCCTGTTGTTATTCACTCATTCAGAAATTTTCAGACTAAACTACATAGTTCGGTATGGAAAAAAAGTCTAACCTTTATTAAAAAACCCTCTCGTGTGCAATGCACTATTTTTACTCTCTAGGTTTTGAGTTTAGTTTTGTTTTCTGTCATAACTACTGTTATAGGCTATGCAGAAGTAGTAACTTCTGGAAGACATCACTGTAACAGAAAAGTATTTTTTAGTAATAAAGCTGCCTTAAAATAGAAACTGTAAAAAAAAAAAAAAAAAGCAGAAGGTATTACCTGAGAAGGGAGGGAAGTAGAGAAACAGTGACTAAAAATTGGTGGGATTGTGGGGTGGGGGAGAAGACGGCATAAAATGCCACCTAAACTTAAAAAAAAAACAACAAACCCTAATTCATTTTCATATCCTACATACCTAAACTTAAAAAAAAAAAACAAACAAACCCTAATTCATTTTCATATCCTACATGGAAGGAGAACTGCAGTCTGAAGTAGTGTGGGTGGGACTTACCATCAAGTGATCCAGGACTGACAGCTATGAACTGCCCCAACTGTATCCATAAGAGGATGAAGCAACTCATTAATAACGGATTGGTGGATATGGGAATGATAAACACTACTATACCTAGAATTGCAGGTACAGATTAGGGGGAGAAAGAAAGAGAAAGTTAGAAAATACTATGCAGGAAATACAGTCAGCTCAACGGTCCTGCATTCCTGATTTCCTTATTATTCTCGGAGAGGTTAACTATAAATAAGTGACTGTGTTTCAACTTAATTTCATTAACCAAACCAGCTCTTACTCAAGCACAGAATGTGCACCCTCAGGCATGATCCAAAGTTTAACGTGGAGGTGTAAAGCATGAGGTAAAACAGCTCACTGTTACAGCGCAAGCAGCTCAACTGGAAAGTGCACCAAAAAAACCTGAACTTCAGCAGCATTTAGTTTTAGATTCCCCTATCATTTGTAGATTAAAAGAAACAGGGACAGAGAAGCAATAATGGTATCTTCACCTGTTTTTGTAACAGAACAGGACCTTTGGGCACAATTATTGCCAAGACGAAGGGTCACCTCCCTGTATACTTTTTAAAAATCCTTCTGTGATGGCATTTTTCAATTAAATATAACACATCAGGAAAGATAAATAGGATCACATTTAAAATAAGGGATGATATAGCTTATAATGAATCTTACCTTGAAAGGTTTGTCCCCACTGTGTGTCAGCATGTGCCTCTGCAACCAACTTTGACTTGTTGAAGGTGTATTATATACTTTGCAACCTTTCCACAAGCAAACAAACACCTAATAGAGTAAAAATGCGGTAAGTTTACATGAGTCAAAGAAAACAGTAAAAAAAAGTATCATATTAGCAGAGAAGCCTGTTTTCACGATACAAAGTACTTCAAAGAACTTTGAACAATAGCTATTTATTTTGCAACACACTTCTCACATCTCACCAAGACAAAATATAATTACAACCACAAGTACTCAAAAAAGCAAGAGACTGAAATAAAATCTCAAAAAAAAAAAAAAGATGTTCCTGCAGATAAACACAATCAAGAGCCACAGCATGCACTGTAAAGAGTTTGTGTTTGCACTCAATATTTGTGTCTACCGGATATTAAACCAGAATGTTTTTAAGTGACAAGTTTACATTTTCTGGATAGATGATATAGAAATAAAATTGTTTCCTCTCATAAGCAATTAATAATTTTATGTTTTGAGCATGAAAAATAAAGCCTCTTAATTACAATAGTTGTTTAGTCACCAGAGGTCTATATTACGGAATACTGGATACCTCTAGTTAGGCCTTATATTCAATTCCCGATGGAAGAAAATTACAATTTCTCACAGGATTCAATTTCTCAGGGTCTTTTGTGATTCCAGAGTACAGATCAGTCATACACACAATAGCGCATTAAGGGGAGTAGAACTTACTCATGCTGCTTTTCTCTCTCTCCTCTCATTGTGCCTATCTATAACTGAGAGAATAAAAAAAGCTCAATGAACTTGCCTTTCATCAGAATTTCCTCAACAGGTCTGTGTGTGAAGGGAGGTACAGGCCTGATTTGTAGCAGCAATATACAGTCCCCAGGAACAGCACTGCTCATAACATAGGATTTCAGAACTGCAGAAAACTAATTGGATTTGGAGTTTCTTGTTCTCTTTAGAAGATTAAGAAACTCAAAATTCAAAAGACTATTTTCAAAACAAAAGAGCAGCTACAGGAGTGCTGTGTACTTGCTGTATAATATATAGATGACCCAGCTCACTAATATAAAGCTGGAAAACCCTGCATGTCTGTATGACTGATCCAGACCTACTGACACAACCCCCTGAACCTCCGATTCCTGCTGCTCCTCAGTTTTGAGATCCCCCTGAAGGCACAGAAGTGGAACTTCTGAGATACCTGGCTCTGCAACAGCTCTGTAACTGCCCCCATGTTTTTAGCAGTGACTGCAGGGCACTTAGCAAATGTACGAAGTCACATATTGTGGAAATGCAATTTCTCCAAAACACATGCAATTGGCTTTACAACACCCCACCAGAAGTCCAGGCAAGGCTTCTTGGAAACCCTTGTCAGAAGGCTGAATCCAAAATATTTTTGAAAAAAATACTCTGGGAGGTCAAATTCTTTATTCAAAACTTTCCCAGGCTCTTCATGGATATATCTGGTTTGGTTTGGAGCCATCATCTCAGTATTAGCTTGAAAATACACATTTTACCATACAAGGATGCTTGTCGCATTGCCGTTAAGGTTTCAGTAAGCAGTTATTACTCCCATTTTTCTTCAAATTTATAGTAATTGTAATTGAGCAATATCTGAAATCCAATCAAAACCACAAGAATATACTTTCTAACACTGCTTGAACACCTCGCCAGCAGGTGGCAGACAAATCCCTGAAACGGAATAGCCAGGATCAGTCCTCTTCCATAGCACCAAGTTGAAGAACTTTTCAAGAAGTAAACCAACTCCAGTAGAGGAATAAAAACTGTGAACTGAATGCAACAGATACCAGCGCTTCCAACAAGCCCCTCTTTTGGAAAGACAGATACAGTCTAACATTTTCTAAATAAAAAGATCCACATGGAACATAAGTGAACAGAAATACAAAACAACCAAAAACCAAACAGATAAACAAAAACCCCCAAACAACCCACCCTGAAAAATTTTCCGGTCCCTTTTGAAGTGAAATGGGGTCATGGATGAGATAATGGAGATCCCCGGAGATGCAGTTATGTGAAAGCCCACAGGACACCGATACACCTCATCCGTTTAATTATTTCATCCAGGATTCATGTAACACTTTTAAAAACTTATGAAATATGGAAATAACTCATGGGTGGCTAAAGAGCCAGCTCACTGAATGAGTGATTCTGCTTAGAGCTTGGAATGAAAGAAGTCACTAAATACGAAGCTGAAAGTTCAGTCATACCAAAAAACATTAGCTAAATACAACCAGAGTCATAGCTGTCTTGGTGATGCAATTACATAATAAATTAGCTAAAGCAATGCAAGTTAGTGTTTTATTTAAGTCTGTTATTCACTCAAGATAAAGTGTAATGGCCCAACATTTTACTTTTGGAGAAGTGACAGGACAAATTCAAAGATAATGATTACTCTAGGTTAAGGTTTGATATTAGCTCTCCAAGAAATTAAAGAGCCACAACATACAGTGCCGAAGGCAGGCAGATCACTTGCGTCTGATGCAAAGTTAGTTTACATGACATATTCCAGGCATCAAAGGTAATTTGGGAGGTTGGGGAGGGCTGAAGAGTTAAATACAGAGTTGAAACTACACTACTGGAAGATGTTTTGAAATATTAGAATTGTGAGACCAACGGAAATTGCATCATTTGACTAGGGATTAGACTGAAATACACATGATTATATACATACCTCAATTTAAAAAAAGATTCTAGATACAGTTAGATTGAAGGTATGCTTATACCATCAGCTCTATAGACAGAGCTGTTTTGGTAAGACTTTCTACTCTCAAGTCAACAAGTCTTCCATCTTTCCCATTATAAATTCTGTATATATTTTACCTCTACTGCGACTCCATTCGCAAAAATAATGAAGATATGACTTCACCTGAGCTCACATGCAGTAACATGTACACTAATAGCTTTAAGAAAATGAATTCCAACAGCTTCAGGATGTTGACAAGTTCACACACCTATCAAAAACCTGATAGCTTCAAATCACTGATTAAAAAGAACTCAGTACAGTTAGGCATTCAATTAAAAACACAGAATAACAAAGTGAACTATGCAAGAGACACAGCTGAATGGTCCAAGCCTCGGTTGCCACTAGCTACAGAACTGGGACTTTAAAACATAAAATTTGCTACTGTCACAAAAGAGCAAAATATTGGCAACTAAGAAAGGGGAGAAAACAGAAAGTGACACCAACCCCTCCTCGTTGACCATCCACATGTATGGAGCGAATGTGATCTGCCAGATCCGGGCTGGAGCTGAAGCAAGCATGGCAATGGTCCCAACAACAGTTATAAGCAATGCTTTTTGCTGAAGAGGCAGGAACTCCTTGTCCATTCATCATAACTGGAGTTGAACGCCCACTGGAAATTGTGCTGTCTACGTCCATAATAGTGCTGCTTATGCTGTAAGACAAAAAAAAAAAAGGGAAAGTTCATATTTGTTGCACATTAACAGAACAAATAAAAATCGTAGCTCTTTGGGGTTTTGTTGCCGACGTATTTAGACAGGCTGAAAATAAAATCTTACACAAACTTACTGTTTATTGTTATTCAGCACCCTAACTATAACAAACGTACAGCAGTCAGGAAATGATAGCTATTACTTGACAGTATAACTTCTTCTGGACACTGGCAACAAAAAAGAGGAACGTAAAGCTCTCCCATTCATTGACTTGTCAGAAAATTAACTCACATGTGATTAACACAGTCATTTTTAAGCTATGTTAAACAGCCATTCATTACTTTTATTTCCCAGGAGAGAAGGAAAAAAGAAAAAAGGAAAAAAGGCATGCTGGGTCTGACGACCAGAGATGTATCTAGCCCAGCATCCACCGCTAACACTAGATCCTTAAAAAGAACACAGCAGTGAAGTTCTACAGAAGGTTTAAGGTACTCCCACACTTGCCTCAGCACGGTGTCCAACATATTTATGGTATAAACTAATGCTTGGCCAGCAGGGGTCCTTTTCATCAGCCATTCTGCTCTGTGTCTTGGCAGATACAGAGCCAAACACCAACTGGACCGCAAAAAAAAACTGCAGAGTGTGCACCATCCATATATAAGCAAAGGGGAAATAGAGAGATGGATATTCTTCATGGATAAATATTAAATAGCTACTAATGTATCTTTTTTTACCTGGTGAACCTGCTCACTACCTTTTAGGAACTTTATGGTTTTGTCTTCTGGAAAGCCGCAGCATTACACAGAACAGCTCATCTTTGAGAGGACCTCAGAATATCAGGTAGTCAAATCTCCTGCTCAAACAGGAGCAAGTGAGATGAAATCGTTTGTGGTCTTGTCCAGCTGAGTCATTAATGGGCGTTTTCAAAGGCTAGAGTTTCTGCTACCTTTCTGAACAGTTTCCCAATGTCTGATTAACTTTGTTGTGGGGGAGGAGGAAAATTTCCCAACATCTCATCAGAATTTCCAGTGCTGCAACTTCTGTCTGTTGCCTCTCATCCTTGGCAGCTGAAGTTTAGATGACTCCAACTGCTCCTTTGCTAAACCTCCCTATTAGGTCACTGAAAACAGCAACAACCCTGTCCTCCTTAGCCTAAAACTGAAGAAACCCAATCTCTCAGCCTTCTCATCCATAGCATTTACTTCAGCCTTCTAACCATCTCGGAGACCCTCCACCAGATCCTCTCCAGTATGTGAGTATCTGAGATGAGTCCCAGACTGCACACAGTAACCCAGACATAGTCTTAATGGTGCCAAGTGCAGGTAAAGAATCACTTCTGCTGACTGTATGGAAATATTTTTTGCTAATACAGCCCAGTACACAGCAGTAATTTTTCATAGGTGTCTTTAGGATTAACACCTATAAATACGTAAAGGGTGGGTGTCAAGAGGATGGGGCCAATCTTTTTTTCAGTGGTGCCCAGTGACATAAGAAGTAACAGGCACAAACTTGAATATAGAAAGTTCCACCTAAACACGAGGAGGACCTTCTTTCCTGTGAGGGTGGCAGAGCCCTGGAAGGGGCTGCCCAGGGAGGTGGTGGAGTCTCCTTCTCTGGATACATTCAAACCCCACATGGACACGTTCCTGTGCAACCTGCTCTGGGTGGACCTGCTTTGGCAGGGGGTTGGACTAGATGATCTCCAGAGGTCCCTTCCAACCCCGTATCATTCTGTGATTCTGTCTTTACTGAGTTCTTCTGAGCAAAGTGCAAGGAAAAAAAAAATCTAATTACATTACTTTAAAGAAAGAAAATAATCATTTTCTACTCATTTCTACATATTTATAATTTTCTAACTTTTATCATGTCCCTTTTCTCGCCCACCTCTCATACATAATTGCTATGCTAAAGCATTCTGCTTTTAAAAATGCAGGTGCTGCTCTATTTTTTTGACCATTGCTGTTTACATATCCATTATTATTCTGTTACACATTTTGAGAAGGATGAAACAAAAACTACACCATTATTCAAAATCTGATATCATTAGCATGTTTGCTCTTCTGCTCTAAAAGCCTTTATTTAGTAATTTCTCACGTTATATGCATCTTTTTTAATCACTACTCCGCTAGCAGTTTTTTCCTGTGATAGATTTTGAAATCATCATAGATTTTTGCACTGCTTAGATTTCCACCCCTCACCCACCGTGTGAATTCCACTGCATTTATGAATATAAAACGTCTTGCCTTAGCCAAAATAACAGATTCCCTTTAGCAAGGCTTTCCAGTTAAGCTTCAGTTTTAACTAGCCCAAATAGTTTGGTTTCATGAGCAAATTCTGATCTGATACACACAGCAAGGTAGCACTTATGAAATCGCTGACTACCATATCCAAAGCATAAATTCCTTAAAAATTTTATTCCAACCTATTAGTCTCCTGTTATTGACCTATGACCATTATTCTTAGGCCTTTATTTTCCAAGTTAAAAAGATAGTTTTAGAGACCTTCTCAAGAGTTTTGTTTTTTTTCTTTAAAAGTATAACAAATACATACTTCCTAAATGCTAGACAAATGCCGCAAGCTTTTTTTCCCCCCTCCCAATTTGAAAAAAAAAGATCTAACAGTTTATAAGGCATGGCTTTAACCCATAAAAGTCATACAGGCTCTTTGCTGCTACACAGCATTTTTCCCTGTGCCTGCTACTTCTATTTTCTTCCCTTTTCTATACCCTGAATACACACAGCTTTCCACGATCCTTCCCCGCCCCCTGCTCCCAAGTATTCTCACTTCCTTTCATGACATACAAAATCACAATACATGCTCTCAAATAAAGGAAAGGTGGCCAACAGACACCTATAGATATGGTTTGGAATCTGTTACGTATTGCTGCCTTTATCAAAAAGCTTATTTTATATTCACTAGAATCTTCCAAGGGAACGTAACTAGCACTGAGCTGAAGCTACCAGTCCCAACAGCATCAACAGTCACTAACTACTGGTAATACTAGTTTAGGAACCCTCTAAGCAATTGTCCAAAGCTTTAAGTGCAAAATATGTTGCAAGCAACCCACATTCTTCCACCATGCCAGGTCCACAACAGATGCAACTAAGGGACTGACATCCCCTCCTTCCTCAGCTGATGCCAAAGCCAAAAGTTATCCCCGAAAGTAAAATCTGTAAAACTGAATTATGAAAGCAAAGTTTACCAACAGAATGAATAAATAATTAAACGTGACCCACACACACCTTAGTTAGAATTATCCAAATATACTTTTCTCAAAATCAGTACTTAGAAGTAGGTTTGAATGCCTACAAGATGGCACACAACCTGACCACTTCTGCCGCACACAGTGAGGTTACACAGATCAGCGGTTACAACAGGAAGGTGCTTCATCAAGAATGGCAAAGCACTTCAGATATTCATGCAATAACTGCCTCAGACCACTTCATGGGATAAGTAACCCTAACTTTGTCACAGTTGAAATGTACTAAAGTACAGTACTTTTAGTAGGAGCTCAAACTTCCAAGCTATTTACAGTCGGTCTGAGTTTCTACTTCCACTGACAGCATCGGTACCGTCCTCAAAAACCCCATAAATAGGCATAAACAAACTTGTAACTAAGAAGAGTTATGGTGCTAGCGACCACAAGGACAGACTACAAAGGGCTATTTAGCATAGTTCTCTCAAGGGCTCCCTGGTTTGACAACTTTGTCTTAAGCAGGAAAGCAATGAGAAAACATAACCCTGAACAAGTGCTGTGAAAGAAAGGGGTGCGTGTGTGTGTGTGAGTGTGCACTCATGCACATGTGTGTGGTTTCTCCGCTTCACAGGTATGCAATCTGGCTAATTTCTCTTAAGCAGAGATGAAAAAAACCTCAAACTGATGAACCCGTGTCATGAGAGCTTATTTCATACTGCAAATGCAATGCGGCATGATCACCTTATGATACAAACCCCCAGGTCTCTAATTTTACAGCCTAAGGAATTCATATCATATACTTAGGCTTTTTTTTTTATATACATATATCTGCTATCTTACCTGTAGAAAATTACTCTTGTTTTTGGAGAGAAATATGTAAAAGTCACCTAGTACTACTGATCCAGCAAAAGATGCTCTGATAAGTAGGGTTGTTAACGACATGAGAAACCAATAACACTTAGAAAAGCCGATTTAGTTGTAATAGTTTAAATGTTTGCTTGGTTTGGTTCTAATCGCCTAAGTGTTTGCTAAGGACTAACAGATTAGAGTTGCACCCACAATAGTGAAATTTAGTATTGGAAGAACTGGAATAAATAAAGGTTGCCTATAGCACTTAAACCAAGCAGCAATATATAGAATTTCTTAGAAATTGTGGATGAAGTGCTATAATGGACTATGATTCTATAACCTATTCAAAACACAGTCTAAAAACAGGAAAAACAAATGTAATCCAAATCCAAGTGAGTGATAACAGGTCACTATTTTATTTAACAGGGAACGCCTTCCCTTCTTCTAGTTTGAAGAACTTTGCATCAGACATTAGAAAGTACATACAAATATTGCTATAACAGGACCTACTAGAGAAATAACTAAACTGCTTAAAGAACTAAACGATGGGAGTCAGACAGGAGGTCACTGCTTTCTAGTGGTTCTCTTGATAGGCTCTGCCAAATGCAAGAAACTTGCTGCCCAGACACATACTTTCTCTATAAATAACCAATTAAATAAAAATGCAAAATCGTTTTTTTGATTGCTTGTTTGTTTTCTCTTCTGTGCCTCCAGAACCAATATATATCAGGCAATCAGGTGCCTCACAGAAAGGCTGCAAAGAGAATCTCTGAGAAACCAGCAACATCCTTCCTCTCTGTCACAGCGCCCTGCACAGCTGAAGCACATGTATGTTTTTTTCTAGTCTTCCATAGACTGAGAAAATATCAGGGAGATTTTCAGAGAAAAGTTTGTAAATATATATAGCATCAGAGAAGACACTGACTTGGGAGGTCCCCTTGCCCTGGACCTGCCA